ACAAAGCTTTTTATACCTACAGTTTTGAACTGAATGAGAGGTACAAACAGAAAGAAGATTTTTGGGGGTAAGATTCCAATCATGTACAGAAATCGGAAGAGGGCGTGCTTCTCTTTGTCTATTTTGCGGTAATTGTTATATGGAATCTTCAACCAAATGTTTTGTAGCTTGTTTCTCGAGATCGTTGGGGCAGACATCATAATTAGATTGCAGAATGTTTCGTTTCAGATATTGAATTGATTTGAATCAATCACGTGAAATCATGTCTAGCTGCATTTAACAAAACAGTGTCCCCAACTGCACACTGTCATAGATATACATATAGTTATATTTCTAGCAATTCGGAAATTATTTCCTTTTGTATGAGATATTGCACGAACATATTATAGGCCTACGTTTAGGTATTTACAAAATACTTCCTGGTGGACCAAAGATAACTCCGTTTCTGTAGGGTGGACCGGTTTCCGCCCCGCCCCCTCCCATTGGAAATATAAAATGCAGGTATCGAGAACAATTCGACTCGCACGGCGAATCTATTTACATCCGAATAAAAAGCTATTTTTTTGAAATGATGCAGACGCCTAAAAAAACAACCGACAACTTCATCGGATCTTCGTCGACCACCATGTGTTTGATCAGCTACTCAACTAAAACATTTAAAAGGAAATCAATACATATAAAGTATACTTAGTCGCATTTGGTTAATCGCTGATCAGTGTAAGAATAAAATAAAGATAATTTGAGCTTTGTCAAGAGATTTGCGGGATAAAATACCTTTAAGAAGCGTTTGTAACAATTCGCGATAAATGAACCGAGCAGCAGGTGATGTGGCCAGTAAAATCTAGCCTTGACCTTATCATTAAATTTCGCACACAACGTGCAAGAGTATTCAGAATACCGCACTTACGAGCTACCAAAGGCCTGTAGATATTAAGCGTAGTGGAAATCATACCCACAGGGCCTATCTATTTGATGTTTGAATCTTTAAACTGGCTTGTTTTATCTATAGACTGCGATGACAAGCCCTCCCCCCCCCAAGGATTTGATTCAATTTGTTTTGCAATTTCAATTTAGCAAACACATCGATTGGTCGATTCCAGCAGTACCTCAGCTGGCGACAGAGTATGACATCGACGAAATTGCTGGTTTGCACCTTCGCACAATGCTTAGCCAGTCGCTGATTGGACACTGGTACTCGAAGATCTGAGTAATCAACCTCTCACTATAGGCTGCCCGTGACGATCTCCAGTCAGACACGGACTAATAGCAGTACTGCACGATCGTACCAAGGCCAGACGGCATTTTGATCCCCCTCCCATGCGCTCATATATATGCGTGTGCTATCGTCCTACGATTACAGTTCTAGTCACGGTTATACTCGCACAAGCAGTGACGTTACCTCTGCCGCTTTTTTTCTTCAGCCCGCATGCAAAGGGTAGTAGGGAGGCATCTTAATCGTTTTGTGATGGTCTCCGCAAGCGTACGTTCTTCCGCACACGTCGCTGTCGTAAACGAAGCGGGCTTGATTGTTATTCTTGCAGAAGGAAATGAAGTTGACTCACGCAGCAGTATTTTTGTTACAGGTTCGCTTTTGATGCAATAGATAGTTTTCTTATCCATCTACAATCTTCTTATTTGTCTTCAAACACAGTGGACAGCATAGGGGTTGGCGCTCTGACTCTTAAACTGGACAGATACATTGTCAGCAGCTTCAGGAGGCCGAGCGTCCTATCGGAAGTAAAAACACTGCTCTGCGGCGGAATGAGATTAAAAACGACTTTGTGACTTGAGCCTAGTGCGACACCTGCAGCTAAATGCACGCTTCACTGCTATTCGACACTCGGCTTGGCGTTTTGCTTTCCATCGACAAAAGATATGTTGCCAGTTACAACAGGTAGACCTGAGGGCCGAAGGACAGAGAGAGTGTTTTCGGCGGAATCGATACACGCTGGATCCTGCGTATAGGCAGTTGTTATGTGCAGTAAACACTTGGCATTTGCGTCTGAAATAGAATGGTGCAAAACTGTGCAGAAATTGCAGGACTGTGGCGAAAATATAGTTTTTCAATGGACTTTGAACAAAACTGCACTCCCAGTTTTATAGGGGAAAACTAGCAATCTACCAAAGCGACGTGAAAAGCCCATTGATAAAGGACAAACTGCCCGTGGAACAAAAAAAAACGCTCCGGCAAACGCCCAATTATGTGATACATTCAATTATCTGATATCTGCAACTGCGTTTTGATCTTCGTCAACGTGAGCCAGACACGCTGAAGAAGCGTCTTAAGGCACTATTTTGGTACATGGCAGTAACGTACTCAGTCGGTGAGTCAGTTTTCAAACGTATATGTTTTACCCTGTGCCGTGTATTAATTCTATTCCCTTGAAATAAACTAAGCAATTATTAAAGTTCCAAAAAAAGTCTTTTAAATTCCCTTCCAAAAAATCTCTCTTAGGATTTAGATTTCAAACTTCTTTGGTTTCCCTTCCTGAAAATCCTCCACGGATCAAATCTACGAATACGTGGTGTTATTAGGTGAAGGTATTTATATGTTTTATTAAGGCCTATTTGCGTTTTTTTTAGGCGAATCCTTATGTACGGATGTGTTCACCGTTTAATACAAAACATCTTCGAGAAAAATTTCCAACGAAGCCGATGGAAACTACATGCCCTCTGAAAACTCCCTGGTCAGATTTGACCCGGAATGCGAGTCGTATATGTAACCTTAGATTTTTTTCGGGTCAAATGACACTTCTCTTGATCATTTGTCCGGGTTTATTACCCCAGACAATTTTTGGGGAAAGTGTTAATTTGAAACAGAAATGTTGTTTTTTCTTTCGCAACCTTTGTTCATTTAGCCTACACTCTAAAACGTCCCTTGCCAGATTGACCCGGACTCCGGGTTATATTTGGCGCCTTTCAGGGTCAAAACGAACACTTTTCCGGGTCAAAATGACAGTTCGTCTGACTCATTTTCCGGGTCAGTTTGACCCAGATTCCTTGGCAAAAGTGTCATTTTAACCCCACAATTTGTTTATTTTGCCCGGGAAAACTGCAAGGCCAAATAGAGCCCGCGCTCCGGGTCAAGTGTTAACATGAGTTTTTTTGAATGCCAAACTGCTCAATTTTTACATTCCTTTACAGTATTCTTTTGGCTTTGCCCAATCCAGCACTGCAACCTTAGACGTGTACTCTCTTCAATTTTGAAACCGACGTGTGATAAATGAGTCTCCATTTCCCCAACTCGAGTCCGCGATTAACGGAGCCCATTAGTTGCAAATAGCAAGACGAACTACACACTATAGACCCTATACGTTAAGGCGGAGTAAGAGGGCAATGATTAAGCATTGCGTGGATAGACATTATTAAACCCTCTGTGTATTCATTGTCACTAGAATAACAAAATACAGAACAATAGCCTCATAGACACCCGTAACGCCTAAGATACTGCTTGCGCGACGTTAGCCAAATAGCTTGAACAAAATAGCCGGTTAAATAACTCACGTACTATTTGCCATATTGCCCAATGACATGTTCTCAGGGTTCGACTTAAGCGGTAGCCCGCTTGCCAAATGCTAGTCAAAACAGCGGATGGCTAGTCAAACCATTCCTTAAGTAGCCCGGCTGGCGAGTCAAAAAATTATTGCGCTACGGCAAAGACGATAAGACAGGAAGATTTAAATCGTTAAATTCAGAAAACAAACCTGTATCAATTTGTGTCTCATTTTATCAATAATAAATGATAATAATAATACAGACAATTTATATAGCGCCAAAGTCTGCCTGAAAGACACTCAAGGCGCTTCACAAAGATAAAATTGAAAAGCAGACAGACACTGTAAAAGTATACATTTAACTACATGTACCTGGAATGTAATCAAGCACTGTGGTGCAAGTTTTGAAACATCGTTTTCACTGTTTAGGGTTAAATTATACGATCTGCTTATAAAAACACAATGACAAAATTGCCTCAGGATACACGTTTTACATGTATGCACAATGTTGTTTATGAGAATAAAACATGCGGGCTAGTGAAAATGCCCGCGGGCTAGTTAAGAGTCTGTTTCAGTAGCCCGACTGGCTATGTTATTCACTTGTGAGTTGCTATTAATACGATGGGACGCATTGATATCGTTATGAATTTTTGCTCCATGTGTGGTCAACAGTTAAGAAAAATACCTATTTTTGTTTTGGTAATTGCTTGGTATTGTTTGCCATATCTTCCGCCTCCCACTCATCTCATTTATTTGGATTTGGGTGATTTTCTTTGCCGTTTTGTATAACTCTTAATCGTGTCGAAAATGTTTAAGCCGTTTTCGTGCCTCCAAAATACTACGGATAAAAACAGCCGACCGAGACCTTCGGTCCATGCTCCCTAATTAATAACATTTATAATTCAACTGAAAATGATGTCAACATAATTTATATCTAGATGTGTTTAGTCTGTTCAATAGCCGTATGATTGGTCCTGACATACTTGAACATGGGAATGAGATGGCAATTTACTTCATTCAATGATGAAGAATCAAATAATTTATGGAAAAATGAGCTGATGGAAAGAGCTGGGATTTATCCGACACTTAACAAACACAAATTCATGTTGTGTTCATAGTTTTATAGTCACACTTATAAAGCGTGCGTATCAATGAATGTGATGAATGTGATGAGAGTTAAATCTAAACAGCTGCTGCGACATTGCAAGTGGTGCCGTCTCTGTTACCACGGGATGTATTAAAATATGCACCGCGTAGAAATATATGGTCTACGGACCTGCAATGATAAATGAGAGCAGGCCCAAGGGAGTCTGCTTGTAGGCTAATTCTCTGGAAAATTGGTTGTGTGCGTGGGTTTACAGGGACAAGTACAAATAAATAGGTTTGTTCCTTAGTGCTTGTGTTTTGTTTGGTATTATGCATGATTGATTGGATGTGGGGCTTACAGTTGGCATGTGTCTTTTCCATGTGCAGGTTGTTAAAGCCCCAATTGCTGCCGGCATCGTCATGGCTTACGAGATTTACGCGTTCCCAAGGATGGATGCCAACCACTCTGTGACTCTGCAGCACCCACTACAGGCTATGTACCCTCAGGACTATGATGGATATGACTACAATTACACCTTTGAGTCCCCCGAGCTGGGGGTCTTCCCTCAGGTCCACATCTCGGCTAAAATTCTGGTAGGCATCACTTACTGCCTCATGATGAGCATCTGCGGTATCGGCAATCTGCTCCTGTGCTACGTCATTTACCGCTTCCGACGCATGCGCACCACCACCAATCTGCTGATCGGAAACCTGGCTCTCTCTGACTTCCTGGTGGCCGTCATTTGCGCGCCTTTCAACTTCTACTTCTACCTGTTTCAAAACTGGCCCTTCGGAAGTGCCATGTGTTTGGCGGTCGGCTATCTCAAGATAACCTCCCTCTACGTCTCGACCAACTCGCTGTTGGCGATTGCCATTGACAGGTAAGTCAAGCAAAGATATCGTTTGATTACCAGACTCATGCATGACTACACTCTCAACGGTAAAAAGCAAAAGTGAATATAAATGAAGGGTGCTTAAGCGCCATTGTCGCACGGTGCACACGCTATTTAAAGGGGCGTTAGCCCCACACAGCCTGGGGCAAAATGCCCTTTTTGTGGTTGTTTAGCTGAACTTGAAGTTCGTCCAGTGCAAAGTGCCCTTTACAGACTATCGTAAATAGACCTACAGTGCAATCTGCTGTTTATGCACGAGGTTCTTTAGAAGACGAAGTTAAGAAGTGAAAACAAAGATACCAATATATTGGTATCTTTGTTTTCAATATTTCAATATGTTGGCCTATGCATGAAGAGAGCACGCTAATTCAATGCAATTCTCACCGGTCAAGATTGGATCGTGCATGCTCAAGCGTAGGCTATTAAAAAATACATGTACAGCGTTTTCTAGGAAGCAGTAATGTGCTATAGGCCCAAATGGAATATTTTTTTCACATTTCCACAGTGTGTATTGGCAAACAGACATTAACAAATTACAGTGTCTTTTTCGCCCTTCATGCATCACGGTGATTTAAACTGACAAGCGAAAATCGATGAATGCACCACAGAATGTCAGATTTATCATTTGTGTGCTGTCCGGCATTTCGATATCAGACTGAAAGGATTTGTTGAGGTTCGCAGCTACTCAAAAATCGATTGATTTTGCCGGGGTAGGAGAAACACACGTTTCGTTACAGTCCTTCATTTAAATAAACCGATACATGAAGCCTAATAAATGTTCGTCTATGGATCGATATAACATAACTCAACAATTCAGCACGACTTGAACTTTACTTGTTCATCTGGCATTGGTAAGAGTCTCCTATCGGTTTAGGCTGTAACTGAAAACCAACGGATGCCTACGTTATCAAATCAAAATGGGACTATTATTGAGTATTCCAATACACAGTTTGTTTCTTTTGCAACGTGAAAACAAAACTCATACAGGGTGAGTAAAAAAAGCGGAACCTAACCCAAACAAATTTATTTGCATTAAACAAACAAATGCAGCACCAAGATATGACTTGTTCGACAATTTAATAAACTAAAGTTAAATGAGAAAAGCATTCTTCAATTGCTCAATCCGTTTAATTTTATCAGCATTTAAACGAAATTACCCTAAAATCTGTTTCGTCCAAGAATTGTCGTTACAATTGTCTTCAAACAACACAAGCGATAACACCTCAGTGAAATAAAGTCCCTCGAGTCTTTAAAAAAAGGGGATTTTATAGGTTCCACTGTTGGCCAAAACAGGGTTGTTAATAAAGATATTGTGTTTTACAGTTGTTTAAAACAAGTATTTGGGTAATTTTCTTTGTTGATCCAAACAGTAAGAACACACAATAAATTGTTGTTTTGATGAAACTTAGTTTAGGGTTACTTCGTATGGTCCCCCCTAAATAGTGATACAATGTTAACGTGTAGAGCAATTGAAATAATGTTCTCGGTGAAAAGTAGTTTAAAAAATGGGCTTCCAAGTCATATTTAATGTTGGTACTACATTTTTTTTGGATGAAATATATGTCTTTGTTTTGGGCTCCACTTTTTTTTTTGACTCGCCCTGTGTAACATTATTTATGCCTGATTTTTGTTCCGTTTTGGAGCATCTAGGTTGATAATAAACCTTCGGTCCTTAGTCTCCATGCAATTACCATAGGAATCTGTCGGGGTGAAAGATTGCTCAGCTCAATCATAGCTCTCGCTTAAGTTCATCTCGGTCTGCGAACAACTCGTCGGGTTTTCATCTTCAACGAAATAAAAAAAAAGGACCGAAAAACCGAAACGTAGTAGGTCCTTGAAGAAAAATGAACTTCGAGACCAATAATCCATCATGGCAATCGCTCGAGCGAAGAGAGTCGAATGATGCGCCCAACCTTCGATTTGTGTGTGTGACCATGCTTGAGAAAAGTCAAACTTAATAGATCCATGTAAGTTGACGTCACGGCTGGAGCTGTGACGTCATTTAATTTTAGCCGTGATGTGTTAATTACAAACAGGAATCAATCTTTTTAGATCAAACTAGGTCACTAGTTTGTTTTACATTTGCTCTTTTTTTGGGGGGGGGGGGCGGGGGGGGGCCTTCGTCAACGTAATTTTGTAAGCGCACTACGTCGATAATTTTGGGTTTTTTTTGGTTTCGTGTTGAACATCCCTTAACTGAAGTTATGTCATTCGGTTTAAATGATCATTCGATTTAGAAGTCTGTTTGCTTTATGGTAATTTGCATAATAAACTTATTTTCGTTGTCATCACTGCGCATTCTATTTTAAACTTTCTGCATTGAAAATAATGGGAAATGAAGTCAAGAGGCGTGGTGATTAGTATTTTTTTTTAATTTTCACGTGTTCTTTTTTACTTTTCATTTTAGTTTTATTCATGTTCAAAGTATATGTTATCTGGCTTTAATCTAAAGACGTAAACACGAAACCTTATTGATGCGATAAATAGAAAGTGATACATACCAGTCGACATATAAACAATAAGCTTCGGCAACATTGGGATTATAAGAGATCCTTTGCCCTCTTGTTATTGTGTTAACATACATATATTTATGTTTTATTTCTGTATTTTTTCCTTAGTTGTAACCTTTTGCTCTTTTATCTTCTAGTATTAAATTCCGATCTGGGTTTTCTCATATCTCTCTTTTCTCAATTTGCTTTATCTTACACATGCTTCATTTCAGTATCATCTGCTCTCTTTTCATGCAAACAATTGATCAATAGGATTATGTTGTGGCTGCTGTTGTGACGGATGTGGGAAACAGTTGTTTTTAATGTATTTTCAATTTTTAACAATGACACTTTGAATAACATTCCTTTGCCGACATTTCACAAATTCTTGCTGAATGGCGAATTCGAATTCCAAAACTGACACACCGTGAAGCTCCTGCGTATTTGAATTGACCCATTACTTATCACATTTTTGATGGGGTCCGCTCATATGTCCGACGCCTCATAGGTCAGACGCCTCATAAGTCCGACAAATTAAACGCTTCGTTTTTCGAAGTCGGACTTATGAGGCGTCGGACTTATGAGGCGTCGGACCTATGATGCGGAATAAATAAATTGTATGCCTCATAAGTCCGAAATTTCGGACTTATGAGGCGTCGGACCTATATGAGGCGTCGGACTTATTATACGGCCCCTTTTTAATTTCATGCATTGTAAATGAAATTGAATCGTTGAAAAGTGCAATCGCAGGCCTTAAGATTTTAATTAAAGATCTAAATTGAACGATCTATTTAGTTAATAATATTGAATGTTGATGTAAACGTGCATCCAAATTCGTAATCATTTGGGATGCCAAACCTATTAAAGGGAAAATACAACATTTGCAAACATTAAAAAATAAAACTACCAAATCATTTTTAAATACCTTGCTGGACTGTTAGTGAATGACAGTGTAAAGCATCCTGTAAAATCATGGCACCTGGTATACTGTCATTTTCAAGAAAAGTGGTATTTTTGTATCAATTCCTAAACGCTGATCGGCCGATCAGCATTGGAAACAACTGGCGTTTTTTTCAAATACTGGCCCCAATTGACCATCGCACTTGTTTGCAATCGATTACAGACCTATGAACGGGTACGAGCCAGCAAGACTGGTTCCCTGACCTTACAATTCCCCAATGTATGTAAACTGCTCTGTTTCTTCTTATATGGAGTCAGGGAACCAGATTACAGGAAAATGATCGTTTTTCTTAGTTTTTGTAGCATTTTCGAACCCAAAACCTCAAAAAAGTCAGTGTAACTATATTTTTGCTATATATTTCCAACCCCCCAATTCCATCCATTTCTGAAAATTACAGCAAAAGCAAATGATGTATATTCCCTTTTAAACCGACTGGGAAACATATACTTCAAAATGATATCTTAAATACTCAAATGATCACATAAAAAAAACAAAAAAAAATGAAAAATGAAAATAAAAAAGGAACAGGAACGTTATGGCTGTTGTACGATAAGTAGGAGTCGCAGTTTGTTATCCCGGTTGGGTATGGTGTTTGCACTATTTGTTTTGCAAAAGGAAAAACATTTACAAACTGTGTGCTAATCTGCACCTACACTGCTCATCGGATAAATCAATGAACCAGATGTTGTATTTATCGCTTTGGTTGATTTTGAATCATTAGGTCTTATGCCACTCTGAAATGTTACTGTATAAAACAGTGCTGACCTACAAGTAAAGCCAAGCACCACATGCTGGCATCATAATTATGCCAAACTCCAAACCGAAGCAAGTTTCAAAACTTAAAAGAACTGAACAAACCTTAAAATCGATTTGCGAAATACCCAAGAGCAGACGGTGGGATTAGAAACTGAGTTACATGAGTATACAAGACATCCAATTCTGATGACTTCAATTACTGAGGTGCAATACCTTCAGGCTACAAGCATTCAATACTGAAAACGTAGTTTTACTTTTTTTATTTCGCTCTACAAGTATTTTGAAAGCCTTAAAGACACCGGCAAGGTCGTTTTTATTATTACACACAGCATGCGCTTCGCTGCCAATTTCTGTTTTTATTGGAGAGCTCATTGTGTTGATCCATTCCTTCGCAGAGCAGAATATTTTTACCAACCCTCAGGAGAGAAGTTAATCAAACGAGACACGCTTCGGGCTATAATTAGAGTACAAGTGACCTCCAGGTCCGGTCGTTCCGCCGGCCGTGCGTGTGCAATTTGGTCTTCATTACTATTCAATGAAAGCAAAGTCAAAAACATGTTTGTCTTCGCCTCGAGCGTGTGAACAAGACCTTTCCCCCTTAAATTTGTATTATTATTTTCTGACGAAAGCAACGAGTTTCAAAACTGATCAATATTGGGAGATAAAAAAACACAATGGAAACGCTTTGGACTACTTAGCTACAGGATTATTAAAAGATATTAACACCGAAAAGTGGGATCATAATCTTTGATCCAACTTAAAGAAACATTGTTGCAAAATAAAATT